TTATGCACCAAATTTTATACTTTTTTTTTTAATAAATATTTGTATGTTCATCTGAATTTTCTTATTTTAATGCTACACAATCAATTATTATTAATAATTTTTAGTAAATTTAATTAATACTTTCTTGTCATTTATTTAGAGTCCTTATTCACATCTTAAATATTTAGAGTAATCTTAATTCTAATTAATGCTAACACTTTAGTATATTATATTACTCTAAATCTAAATGATGATAAAATTTAATTTAATTCAACATTAAACAAAATAAATTTAGATGATTTAAATTCCATCATTTTGTTTCGATACAACAATTATGCTAGAACTTTAATTAGATCCGATGTTAAATTGATATAATTTTTAATTTTAAGATCCGATGTCGATTAAATAAGATTCCACCATAAAAATTAGTATTTTAATATATTTAAAATTATCAATTAATTTCAGTCATAATAGTTGTAACAAGACTATAATAGGATCCGATGTTAAATTAAAGTGACTCCCTATCTTGGAGTCCAACGATAATTTAATATGATATTACAATAAATCATAACTAATTTAGTATACCATAAAACGACTCTTTAGATCTAATTGACAAAACCACTTGAAGTAAACAATAGACTCGACATAGACATATAAATATTTCAGCAAAATAATACTTCGGAAATAATTAAAGAATGAAACAAGTGAGGTAACTTCCTTTTTTTTAGAAAACGATGTTTCTAGATAATTGTTATCTTTTCAATAAACATAATCGACTCATTATCCATAATCTTTGAATGAATAGTAATTTCAATTTTCTAGTCCGTTTAAAGTACTAGATGATGACTCCTCATCTTTTGATTTTTTTTTAATCAAGAGGTCCCATATGTCGAGTAGCGATAGTGTTGAAGCAAAGTGATATAGTATGGATTTTTTTTCTTATAAAAAATATCACTACAAATAGATTAACATTTAGAATGAAAAATAGTCTAAATAAAAAGCATTTGGTAATTATAATTTTTCAACATTTAAAAAAAATACAATTTCTTATTCTTTTAATTTAGCATATACACATCAAATAATTCATCACTTAGTCTTATCATTTTCTTATGTAAATTTATAATTAGATTTAAACTAAGGGAAATTAATGTTTGAAATTACGTCAATGTAAAAAAATAATAATTGAACTATCAAGTAAAGAATAATAGAGTTTTTTAATCCATAATATTTACTCATTAATTAATATGAAACATCCTTTCAATATAGATTGCTCGACCACCATTTTGACGTCAATTCTCGACTTTTTTGAATTAATGACTCTTCTAATTTGATTTTGAAGTAATAAAAAAATTACTTTTATATATTTTTATTTATGAAAATCAAATAGATTCATAAAATGTATTTAAAGTTAAAATGAAAACACACGAGATATTAAATATTACAAAATACATTAAATTAAAAAAAATCAAAATTAATATCGATTGAATTTGGTTTCCTTCACCTAAATTTTTATAATATATTAAAATATTAAAATTGATTATCTAAGGCTCTCTGCGGCCGCGTGTGGGTAAGAGACTAGTGTTAGCTAATTAGCGTTACATGTACAAATTGAAACTTTTGTTCAACTATAGGGTAATAATACAATGAGTTAATAGTTGTAGAGGTCACTCTACTCTTGTTTTGTTGGTGTCCCTATACTTTTTTTTGTTTTAAGTTTATCCCTTTGGTTTTTGTCTTAATCTTGTCTTTTTGTTGGCTTTTGAACTAATAATGATAATTTATTATTATTTTATTTTTTAATCTTAATATCATTCCTCTATTCTATTTTTCTGACTATATTTTTTACTCATTTTAAATAAATGAATTTTGAAAAAAAAAAGTGAAGATATATTCAATTATTCTCTCTAAAAATTAAAAATTTTAAAAAGGTGAAGCTAAATTTTTTTTTTTATCAAAATATCTTTCATGCGTTTAAATTTATCTCAAAGACAATAGGCAAATTTTAAGTATAAAATGAATTATTAATAGTATTTTTTTTAAATATAAAGAGAAATTTTAGTTAAAATTTTAAATTTTTAAATGATATTTATAACTTTATAATACTTCAAAAGAGTCTACTATAGTTTACTTATTTCACAAATTTTTTAATTTCTCTCAAATGTGATAATATAAATCTTATTACAAATTTTAGTCATACTAAAAAATTGTTGTGTTGGGTAGAACACTAAGAAAAATTTATATTCCTATGTTTTTTTTCCTTGTAAAATTTACTTACTATCATAAAAAATACATTTTAAAAATTATTATTATTATTATTATTATTATTATATATATATATATATACACACTTGAAATTTGCGTACTGACATATAAACAAATTTAAGCACATAAAGAATATTTTGAATAAAAAAATATTTTTATTTTAACTATTTTTTTATTTTTTTCAATTTTTAGATAGAATGATTGGATATATCTTCACTTTTTTTTTAGTTACTTTTTTTTCAAAATTTATTTATTTGAATTTTATAAAAAAAGATTAAAATAAAAAAAAGAATTAGGGACAAGATTAAGACAAAAAAAAAAAAATTGACGCCGTTATTCTAAAAGTTAATGGAGAAAAAAAAAAAACAGAACCAAACATAAAACGATCAACTTAAAATAATAATAAAAAAAGTGAGATGCCAAAAAAAAATAATAATAATAATAAAGAGATTTCTGCCAGCATTAATCCATATAATGATATTCAGAGTTTGAAATTAAAGGAGAAGCTGAACATATTTTGAACTCCAGGGATCTTATATGATTTGCTATGTATATATATATATTGTTTTCTCGCTTTTCAACGTAAGAAGAAAAGAAATCCCTCGTGCACCTCATCTCAAAGATAAGTTAAAACTTGTGCTGACCTGCATGCTTCCAAATTGTCCAATCCGAACCATTTGTTGGGGAAGATAAAAAGAACCTTCCATTACCTCATGCTGTTTAGCTGTCCACAAGCTGTATAATTCAAAACGCCATCAGCACAACCGTCAATTCTGGCTGCGGTGAAAGCAGTCAAATTTCGTTACTCTTTTATGTTATTATAATAATATTTTTAACTTTTCACAATTTTAAAAATTTGTTAATCATAATTTTATTTTTTAAGAATATTTTTTAAAATATCATTTTTATTTTAAAAATAAAATCTATTCAATTTAATCCTACAATATAAAATAGGAATATTTTTTTAAAAAAATACAGTATTAAAAATTTTGACAGCATTTTAAAATAAATATAAATAAAAAGATTATAATTTGTTTTGAGACAGATGAAGTAAAAAAAATAAAAATCTTACAATTAAATAATAAAAGAAATTGAAAAGGGCAAGAACCGGGCAAAAATCAGGACGTGTCAAAATACGAGGATTCAAAAGAGCATTCGTTCCCTTTAGAAATCAAAACCGTTCAGCAGAATGGATAAGTTGGGTCCACTAAGTGAATCTCTTTTATTTATTTTTTTGGCCGAGGGGCTCTGAACGAATGAATCTAATAGGATTGTTCACTAATATATATATATATGGATTTATTTTAAAAGTCAGTTTTTTTTTTTAAATATTGTGAAGAGAATATTAAGGATGGTCAATGAAATGAAACTGAATAATGGGACCCAAACCGAACCATGAGACCCGCATTTCATGTCATTTTATCACAACATATTTTGTATTTTAATTTTATATATTAAATAAATGTTGAAATAATCTTTTATTAATTTTTTTATGTAATTATCAAACTTTAAAAAATATTTTTTAAAAAATAATTTATCCAGAATTGCTTTTTTATTAAAAGTTTTTTTATCAAACAAACCGAGATTTTAAAAAAAAAGGGATCAAATTTGAAATAGGAATCCAGGAGAGATGATAGTAAAAGCGTTGTGCAAGTAGAGCGATAACAAATTAATTAACCTAATAAATAAATATATATTAAAAGACCAATTCAAAAAAGAGGACACCGCAACCCAATGGATGGCAAGGGGATCTCATCTGTCAATCTAAATTCAAAGTCCGCGTAAACCACCTAATCGCTTTCACTCTCTCCCCCTCTGTTTTGCAAAGCCGCCCATAACCAGTAGTGAGGGCCCCTCCCTCCTCCCTCCCCCCTCTTTTTAACATTTAATTTATTTATAAGTAAATTACAAATTAGTTCTTGAAAAAACAAATTAATTTGTTTTTTATTTTAAAAATTAATTATTTAGTTTTATATATTTAATTTCTTCAATAACTTAGTTTTATATATTTAATTTCTTCAATAATTTAGTCATTTCATCAACTTTTTTACTAAAATGATGATAAAATATTCTTACTACAATATTATTTTTTTGTTCTCAAATTGTCATTCATTTTATGTATTATTTCTTTTTTTTCTTTCTTCATATGCTAAAACAAATCTTTATTTCTTTCTTTAAATATTTTTTAAAATCTTTATTTTTTATTTTATTGATCTTCATCAATTTTATCTCTTCTCAAGTATCAAAATATATTTTCATGAATGAGCACATATATTAAAAGATATTTTAAGCATTAAGTATTAATTTAATAGATTTGACAAAAAAAAAAACATAATCATAAAAGGTTAAATAATAAATGTTATTATTTTTAAAGACTAATTTATAAATAAATTGAATATATTATATACAATAAATGTGAATCACAGTTGTACTTAACTTGTACTGGTGGTGTGGTGTATCATCCGAAAATCCCTCCGCTTCTCACGTTCCCTCTCCAACATCGACAACGACCGACTGCACCCGGAATTCCAACGGCCAAAACGACGCCGTTCCCTCTCAGTTTGTGATTCCAAAAAAGACAAAAAAAAAAAAGATATCCCTGTTGCTCCAAAGCAAAACAAGGAGCTTCTTCTCTTCTCCCATTGTTTTTGAACGCCCTTCGTTTTTCTTTTTTTTGGATTGATTATAAAATAAAACACCAAAGTCTTTCCTTTCCTTCGATTTGATTTGTGTTTGTTTATTGGTTATTAAAAAAAAAAATGGGTATGATGATAGAAGATGACGAGGAGAACGTTGACGTCTTGGTACCGCCAAGCAATTTCTCGACGGTAGAAGACGGCATTTTCAGATCTGGCTTCCCTCATCCCTCCAATTTCGGTTTCCTTGAAACCCTAAATCTTCGATCAATCATGTATGTTTTCGAATTCTAATTCTTTGTTTTAAAAGAAAGAAATATAGTAATTAGTATACATTGAATTTTATTTTTTATTTGTTTTGGAATTTTGAGCAGATACTTATGTCCTGAGGCTTATCCTCAAGAGAACATGGACTTTCTTGATGCTCATGATATTAAGCTCTTCCAGTTTGGAATCGAAGGCAAGACGGTAAGTTTATCGTATTGGCAAAAGCAGTTTTGATGTATTTTGAGAAGTTATTTTGTTTTCCGGTGACGCTGATATCTTAATCTGCAGGAGTCCATTCCTAAGGATACCATCACGGAGGCTCTTAAACTCTTAATTGGTAACACAAAACTTAACTATATAAATATTCTCTCTTTCTTTCTTTTCCTTGTTATATTTATTAAATGTGTACCTTTTTTTTTTCCTTTTTTCAGATGTGAGGAATCATCCAGTTTTGATTCATTGCAAACGTGGAAAGGTAACTCCAATTCCAACTTAACTGCTTTCTGCTATATTTTTTTTTCTTGTTATATATATATATTTTGTTCCTTTGGCTGGTGAAGGTTTTCATCTTCATAGGAATTTCCCTTATTTATCCGACTTTGATATTCAATTGATTTGATTTTTATTCAGATATCATTATTTTTTTCCCTTCATATCTTTCATGCCTGGCTTCCTCTTTTCCCCTTGCGAAGCTGGCTTCCATTGCCATGCCTCGTTTTTCCTTCAATTATGAGGATTTAGTATGAACATTTAATTAGGTGGAAATTAAGAGCCATTATTAAGTTGAGATGAGCTTGTTTCAGATATTTACCTGTTCCCAATTTTCCATAACATTAGTGCCATCCATTCTCATTATCTTCAATGAAACCCTTAATTGTTTCCAAAATAAAGCTCCATATCCTGTGAAAAAAGATAGTTTAAAGTTTGATCTTGTGCGTGGCAGATGTCCTATAGCCTTTTAGAGCCTAATTGATAAGCTCCTCATTAGCTGTTGCCTTGTTGGCCTTATTTTTAGAAATTCTCACCTTGTATCATCTTTTTGCTGCAGCATCGGACAGGTTGTCTTGTGGGTTGCTTTAGAAAACTACAAAACTGGTGCTTGTCTTCAGTGTTTGAGGAATACCAGCGTTTTGCTGGGTTGAAATGGAGGGCCACTGACTTGAGGTTTATTGAGACCTACGAAGTGATTTGCCTGAGGCAGTGTCTTTACAGCATCATCTACCAGTACCAAGGATATGGTTCAAACAAGAGGAGGTTACTTTACCGGGAAGAGAGTATACAGAAGCCTAAAATAAAGTCAATTTAGAAGGGCTCTGAGGATCCACTTTCTTTTAGTTTTGGTTCCTGATCACTCATTGTGGTGTTGCGTATGAGCTTTATTAGAAAAAGATCAGTTGCATGCTTTAGTACGCCAGATTACTTCAACACAGCTTTTTCTTGAAACGTCTCAGTACTATGGTTTCCTGCGTACATTAAAAAAAAAAACACATTCCTTAATTCTTTTTTTCTTAGTTCTAGACGTGCAACTGTACAAAAGAACCATTGGCGGGAGACAAGTTCCAATGTGTGCCATACTAATGAACAAATTTTAAGGTCTTTACAATATCTGTTTTATTTTGTAGGTTCATTGGTACTCTCCGTTTGTACGGAGACTGATATCTCAATTTTAATTTTTTTCAATTTGAGTATCATAATTATTTTTTAGTTTATAATCAAGTTGGTTGATCTTGTTAATATGTATTTTGCATGTGATGTTGACATAGTTCAATAAATAAAAAAACTCTTCCACTCTTTAATACTGTTTTTTTTTTTAATCAAATTGATGTTGTGAAATTACAAAATATCTCACTCCTACGTTAAAACAAAATATTAGATTTTTAGAAAATTCTAAATCATTTGATCAAGCCTTAAAATTTTTTCCTCCCTTTCTATTTCTTCTCCCTCACACTCTTCCCTTTCACCAACACCAACACCTCCCTACCTCCTCGTTTGCTATCTTCACCATCATCTCCATTACTACATTTGGCATTCCCTACATTGCACTATCGCTGCCCTTCCCTTTAGATACACCTTCTCTCTTTACAAATCGCATCCTCTCCACTCTCTCTTCCCTCACATTCTAAGCAAGTAATTGAGTTTTGTCTCCAAACCTAAACTAAATAGCTGTATCTATAGCAATAATATGAGGATGTAGTTGGAGATGACAATAAATTAACCGAAACCTAAAATTTTGGGTTTCATTTTTTGAAAGATTAGAAGCAGAGTTGGATGCTTTGTTAAATAGGTATATTAGCAAAGCTCGATAATGTTAAATGTTAGATGCTTTGTTTTATAGGTAAATTATACTAATGGTCTCTTGCATTTTTTAGCCATTTTATCATCACGTGCCGGTGACGTGTGTTTGGATTTTGGTCAACGGGATCGGCCGACTTGCTTATAAACCAAAAAATAATTGTGGTATTCAAATTGAAAAAAAATGAAATTGGAGTGTCAATCTCCGTTTAATCGATAATACACAATATTATCAAACCAATTAGCCTATCTTCTATCTTCTTATATGAAAATATAGTTTGGTGAAGGCAGGTGACAATCTTATAAATGGTAATTTATTAACTTGTTAAGAGGCATTCAAATTGAAAGTTCTTACATAATAAATTTAGTACATATATTTTTTTGATTTTATTAAGAAGTCTTTTGTAACAAAATAACATGATAAATCTTAGAAAAAAAAAAAAAAGAGAGAGAGAAGATCAATATTAAATGTTCTAATAAAATCTAATACAATAAGGACTAAATATATACATTAGTGAGGCCAAATTAAAATTTTTTTAATCAATGAAATTAAGGTTTTTTTTTATTAAATAATTCTCAATAATTAAATTGAGAGGGATCATCTTATTATTTATATACTAATAATCACAACACGTAAATTGATTTTGATCTTTTATCTAATATGTATTAATTTCTCTAAAATATATATATATATATATATATATATATATATATATATATAGAACAAACAAACAAACAACCCAAACCAAACCATGGAAATCGCACCATTTTAGGTGCTATTGAGTTTTTTCAATCTTAAAAGCTAATTCAAAGAGTTGGATGCTTTGTTAAATAGGTATATTAACAAAACATGGTAATGTTAAATGTTGGATGCGTTGTTTTATAGGTAAATTATACTTGTGGTCTCTTGGGTTGTTCTATCATTTTATCATAACATGCCTATCATGTGTACTTAGGTTTTGGTCAAGATCGACTGACTTACTTACAAACCAAAAAAATAATTGTGGCATTCAAATTGGAAAAATTGAAATTGGGGTACCAATCTCTAATTAATCGATAGTCAATGATATTATCGAACCAATTAGCCTATCTTACGTATTATTACATAAAAATACATATAGTCCGAGTGAAGGCAAGTGACAATCTCATAAATGACAATTTATTAACTTGTTAATAGGCATTCAAATTGAAAGTTCTTATGTAATTAATTTAGTACATATTTTTTTGAAATTTTTTTTTATTAAGAAGTCTTTTGTAACAAAATAACGTTATAAATCTAAAAAAATGGAAGATCGATATTAAAGTTCTAATAAAATCTAATACAATAATGACTAACAATATACATTAATTTGGCAAATTAAATTTTTTCTATTTTTTATTAATGAAATTAAGGTGTTTATTATTAAATAATTCTCAATAATTAAATTGAGGTGGGTGATCTTATTATTTACATAATAATAATTACAACGAGATAAATTGATTTGAATCTTCTATCTAATATGCATTAGTTACATCAAAAAAAAAAAAAAAAAACCAACAAACAAACCAAATCATGCAAACTACACCATATTAGGTGCTATTGAGTTTTCTCAATCTTAAAAGCTAATTCAAAGAGCGAGACTTTTCCACATTTATACCCAAACACTCGGCTCCTTCCACAATCGATGTGAAATAACCCACAATATCCTCCTTCACACATCGAGTCCTAGATTGACTATTTTTCATCAACTTATATGGCGTCGGTATGCGGATAATTGAACCTAAACTCTAATGCTAGTGTTGGGTGTTATTAGGCCTTCATAACCTCAAAAACTAGCTCAATTAATGAGTGAAGTCGTCTTTTACACGTATAATAAAGCATCCAGACTCCTTCCAAAAAGGATGTAAGATAAACCAAATAATTATTTATTAGGTATATACTTAAGGTCCAATCCACAAGTAACAACTTAACTCTGTTAAGAAATCAAATAGCAAAATGATTAAACATGAAAAGGATTAAATAAGATTAAATTTGGAAATAAAAAAGATCAAATGGTACAATATGTCACATGTGGTGATGAAAAAGGAAAAACCAAAGAGAAAAAAATTATTTTTTCCTATTCTATTTATTTCTTTTGTCAAGACATATGAGTATATGTAAGGAATATTTGCTCTTTTTTGGATACAATTATCAAGAGAGAAAAAGACAAGAAGAAAGAGAGAAAAATAAGATTTTTTTTTCATTTAGATTAATCGCATAAAATGTCCTTTTATTCTTTTGATTTTTTTTTAATGTTGTTCATGTACTCATTTTTTTAGTCACCACCTCTCTTTATTTTTGAATTTTTCTTGACATGGCATCTTTAATAGTTTTTCGACCAATTTTTTCAATCAAAAGTGATAAATGAAAAAAAAATATATTGTCATGATACGTCATATTTATTTTCTATGTGAAAAAAAAAATACAAAACAAAAAAAAACAAAGAATTGTCATGTGTCATGACCAATTCAATTAAGACTAACTCAAATATAATTGAAACTATGAGGACTAAATTATAAACCTGCCATCTTTAACCTTCATCAAACTTCAACTTCATCTTGATGTGGCTGTTTGGATGGCTTGGGAGTTGCTAGAAGTTGCAACGGTGGCAGCCAAATGAAAGAGAGCTTGGCTGGTAGCTTTTTAGGGTTTTCTTTTGGTTTTTGACCAATAGCTTGAGGAGGTATTTTCGGGGGTTTTGTGTTGCTTAGGTTGTGGTGGCTATGGATGATGATTGAAAGGTTTTTTTTTTGGTAGTTGATGGTGGTGTTTTTTGGGAGAGATAAGTGGAGAAGGTTTTTCTTCTCTATAGGTTCCTATTTCTTTAGGAAAAGATGAGTGAAATGGACTCCTACCTTTGCAAAAGAGAAAATGATGCATTTATGGTGAGCGTTAGTTAAAATTTTGAGAATTTTTATATTAGCCACATCTTTTTCCTCCTTTCTTTCTTTCTTTGTATTTTCAATTGATAAATTTTTAATTAAACCCCTAAATCAATTATTTTTTGTCTAATTTCTCATATTTTAATCGATCGGGTCCAAAATTCTCAATTTTTAACTTATTTTCTTCTCTTCGCTTGTCTTCTTTTCCTTTTCTTGTTTTTTTTTTTTTTGTTAATTTTTCTAAACTCCTAAAAATAATGGGATTCCTAAAAGTATTGTTCAAACCAATAATATAATGCTAGCATAATTATTTTTAATTTATAATCAAGTTAGATGATTCCGTTAATTAAAATTCGAACATGTTTTTTACATGTGATGATGACATAGCTCAATAAATAAAAAACACTTCCATTCTTTAATAGTGTCGCTCTTTTTTTTTCTTTTTTTTTTAATCGAATTGATGCTATGAAATTACAAAATATCTCCCACTCCTAAGTTAGAAAAAATATATTAGATTTTGAGAAAATCCAAAATCATTTGATCAAACCTCTAAATTTCTTCCTCCCTTTTCATTTCTTCTCCTTCACACTCTTCCCTTTCACCACCACCGACACATCCCTATCTCCTCGTCCGGCATCTTCACCACCACCTCTATCACCACATTTGGCATTCCCTAGATTGCACCATCGCTGCCTTTCCCTTTCCATACACCTTCTCTCTTTATAGATCACATCCTCTCTACTCTCTCTTCCCTCACATTCTAGGCAAGTAATCGAGTTTTATCTCCAAACCTAAATCAAATAGTCGTATCTATAGCACCAATACGAGGATGTAGTTGGAGATGACAACAAATTAAATATAAACTAAAATTTTGGGTTTTATTTATTGAAAGACTAGAGCTTTTTGGTGTTTGGTTAGAAAGGGAACGAAAAGAAAAATTATTTTTGTTATCCGAAAGAGAAAAAATGGGAAGGAGTTGAGATTATATGAGTGGAGAGGGATAATTTAACAGTGGAATTTTTTTTTTTTTTTTGTGGTTGGTTTTGGTGCTATAAACAAGTGCATAATTGAGTTTTTATGTACTATTCATAAATCAAATAGAATACTCACTAC